GAAAGCTAGAAAGCTAAAATTTTAAAGGGGCCAATGGGGCTTTCCCGTATTTTAAAGGGGCTTTCCCGTATTGGCCAATGTTGCACTACTTGCTGACGACCTTGATGTGACTTGTTTAGCCTCCTAAAAGGATTTCCGACTTACGGTTGGACAGAAGCATTTGGCAACGCTTTCGCCGCTTCTGGGTATGCTAAATTTGAAATTTAATTTGCAGAAGTATTTCAGAACGACATTCAGAACGACGAAGTAATAACTCTCAGCACGCCGTGGTGTGGGTTATGAGTTATCTCGTCATGTTCTGAAATAATTTTGAAAACTAAATTTCAAATTTAGCGTAGGCATTCGATTGCGCTAAGAAGAATGGTCATTATTTGAATGTTCCTAATTACCGGTAATTAAGATCATTGGATATTTCTTGCTGTTGGTACAGCAGCTGCGAATTTTTCCATCCTTCTCCACTTTATGTGTTTCGTATTCGCATAATTTCATAAAACACGATGATAAAGCAGCAGCAGCAGCAGCAGCAGCTAATTTAGGATCAAAGTTTCAGATTATCATTTGGATGATTTCTTTTTTTAGCTTTTATCTACCAACGAACAAGTCTATGAGAACAAAGAATTTGCGGAACTGCATATCAATGATGATTTTTATCGTATCGTACGAGATCCGCCGCGATGTACTAAGCTTGCTTTGAAACTAAAACCAATCGTTGAATGCCCATTGATGGCCAGTTTTGCATTCGCAGATGATGGTAATTTGCTTCGTTCGTTAATTCATTCCATCATTCCACTCATTCTTTTTCGTATTCGCTCTGTACGAGAAGCGAAGGCATACTGAGTCAGTTTGAGTGGTAGCACATGCCAACAGCAACCATCCGTTTGCACTGTTCTCGACATTTCCTTCTTTTGAAAGTCACTTAAAGCAAACTGACGATTTATCGTAATTTAGACCTGCCATCTGGTTTTTTCTGCAGCAATTTTTCCGACAGATTTGTCGGTTTTTTAAAATGAATTCTGTATTGATTTTTAGCATCGCAAAAAGTCGAGCCACGTTTTCACTGGTACGTAGCGGACGCAGATATCTCACTGAGCATACCACAGTTAGAAAGCACTTCAACTGGTATGTCCATTAACAGAATTTTTTGAAGTTTTTGAAAAAAAAAGACTGATTCCACTAACATAGATCATCACTATAGGCTTCAGCTGTCGGTACGGAGATATGTGCATATGTGTGTGCACGTGAGTGTATGTGTGTATTCTGAAGCGAGTAAACTTTGTCACCCACTTTCAACTCAGCAGCCGGGGAAGCTGGGAGGCTGAAATTTGAAGGTCATGTTCCCACCCCACTTGTCAACCCCCCTTTTTAAAATCTTCGCTCATACTTCCCTAGATCTCGCGTACGGACCCCCGAAAAAAATATGCATATTTCTTTAGCGGGAAAGGACTTCATGAGCCGGATAAAATAAAAAGCTGTAATTTTGCAGGGATATTCTCTGTGCATGTATGAGCTAAAGATTTCAAATTCAACTACTACACACGCTTATACCGCGCGTACGGTTGTGTCAAAGTTCACAATTGGCATTGTGCTATTCGAAAACTAGTCGGGAAACAGTAGCTGGAATTTTGTCAGAATATTTATTGTTGACGTGGAACATCGTATATCTAAATTGAGCTTCGATTTGCACTTGAGCCACGACATAGGGCATTTCAAAGATATCTGTAGTGAAGTGGCTATTTCGCTTACCAGGCAAACTGCGAGTCTGAAGCTTTGCAAGGATATTCTGTATTCACTTATAGCCTTAATTCAATTTGGAAGTGAAATTCTCTGCACGCAGGCATAACAAATGCTCACTTTTATCACAAATCAGTTGCCGAAGTCCTTTCCCCTTGCTTGCGGGAAGGAGTTAAAACAGGGCTAGAATGAGTCCAAGTGCTGAACTACAGCGTAGGGACCATCTCTGTTGTTAGCATTCTGCAGGTTTAGCGCAAAGACACATGATCGCACTGGCAAGCCTGATGCGTTGCAGCCTAGATTGTCATTTAGTAAAAGCGAGAAATGCACGTAGAAATGCTGAACCAACTATGCGAAATAGTCCAAACTTAAAACTGCTGAAATGCCTTATATACGCTTTCTTCGACTGAAGACCTTCAGAGGTTTTTTTAAGGAGTTTTAGCTATGATTTGCGACGGACGGAATATTAGTTTTGCAGTTCTACATTCACGGACGGTGTTACTGTTGACGCATTATTATTCTAGGGATTTTCGTATTACTATGCATGGTGAAATAACGATTTTCGAATTTTAAAAGATTAGGCGTGAATAATTGCTGAAATGCATAGTTGTTTACAGGTCAGTCGAATTTTTTAATAAAGGATTGGACATATCGCTGTTCCGGGCCGTTTTTCTGTCCCAGCATAGAAGATGTTGGGAAACGTGTTTGCGTGTTGTTGGATATGGGACCTGATTCAATAGTGCAGTGCATAGCCAGTGATGATTTGGTATCGGTAGTCGATGAACCGCTCATTTTTGAAGAAAGGCAATCCTTGCATTGCGAACATCGCACAGATAATGGGTTTGCTTTTGAAGAATAATTGTTTCAATTAAAATATGAATCTGATTTTCGAATTAGGTGAAAATTTTTTGTTATTAAGCCCTCATCTTTTTCCTTTAGCACCTGAAGTACCTGGATTAACTAGAATTTTTCTGATATTAATTTCGTTTCTTTATTAACTGCATTTACCCGGAACAACTTATAATTCATTGCTTAATTCTCCAGCCATTTAGCTGGTAACTTTCCCAGTTGCTCTGGCCGGTACTGCATTTTCTGGTTTTTGGACTGCTGGCTGTAATGGCGTTTTTTCCGTCTCCTCTGGGAAGTAGCCGTAGTTCAAAAGTTAACAGTGGTGACTGCAGTTACCTTTCATTACAACCGTTAATATTAGAGATCAAATAGCCGTTTTTTTTTAATATTAAGTTTTAATTTCGCTGTTTTTCCAAATTACCATTACAAATTTTAGCTCTATACGATTGATGTCTTACAACGTTCTTGCTGACCTATATCTAGACTTGAAGCTAAGGCAAGAAGACTTGTATTTCCCATATTGCCCAAAAGAATATCAAGATTATGCATATCGATATCCGCTGTTGCTCAAGGAAATTCCAGGTTATTAACAATGCGGATTTGGATTTGTTAAATCTAACATAGTAAATGGATGAGTTGAAAGGCTAATGTTCATTCGCTTTTATAGGTTATAATGCAGATATAATATTCCTGCAAGAAGTGGATGAACGATTGTGGCTGCGCTTTTTACCTGTTTTAATGTCAGCTTACAATTACGGCACTCATTTCAAAAGGAAAGGATTGCAGGTTAATGAAGGATTGGTTATCTGTTATCGTAATGAGCAATTCAGGTTAGTTTGCATCTTAATTACTGAAATATTTATTATGAGTCACTTAAAAATAATTGTAATATTTATTATGAGTTACTTGAAAGTAACAATATTCACCTCCTGTTGATAAAGTACCTCACTGTAGTCTTTGAGTTGGTAGAGTCCAAGACGAATTAATCATCTCGAAACACCTCGAAATGGCTCAAGCCTTGCCAAATGCTTCTGCAGGGAAAACTGTTGAGCTGGTAGTCTTTTCAGCAAAAAAAAGTGGCCGTATTTGAAAAAAATTTAAGTAGTACATTAGCATCACTGGGCTTCTTCACATGTGTTAGTTTCGATAGACTTATGCATTCATTTCGATACGTACACTTGTCCTAGGTGCGTTAGCATCGCCTACTTTTACGGTTCATTAGTCCAAGGAGTTTCTCCTCCATATTCGTCACAGTTTATGTAATATTTGTTTTAGGCATTTGGAAAGTTATGATTTGTGGTTACCAGATTTTCTGGATGTGGCCAAATATCCGGAAAATGAAGATGTGGTCCGATTATTTGAAAGTCATGAAAATTTGAAGGCTATGTTTGTTTCAAAGCCTGCTGTTGTGCAAGTAATCTTTTTTCAATTCTTCGCTTTGCATTCAAATTTTATTACTTTGGTATGTTTTTCGGTGATATTTCTGAAGAAACTACCACAAATTTTCTGTAATATGTTCGGAATTCTCATAGCGAAATACCCGTTTTTGTGATTTATTGGCTTGTATGAGACAGTGGCTTTTGATTTTCCTGGTGTGATTTCAGTTTACTGGATTGCCTAAGTGACAAAGGGGGGGGGGGGCACTTTCACTTTTGTGCAAGGCCCTGACTAGTCTCCTTGGAGCGCAGAAGCAATACCATTCTCCACAATATCTCTGTGTAAGAATTACAGCTGAAATTCCAGGCAGCTGGGCAGAAATCCAGCACTTGATGAAGAAAAAAAAAAAAAACACGAAGCTAAAACACACAAGGGATCAGCCCCAGTTCTTCCCGAATCACATCCTTTTCGTGGAATTGGCCATTCCACGACAGAATTAACAAAGCAAAAAATTCCCGAAATTGTTTAGAAATTTCACAATGAATATTGCAGTTGTTGGCATTGAGTGATATTGGCTCAGAAGATATTCTGCTGCTTGCCAATACTCATCTGTTTTTTGATCCACGTTATGAAATTATCAAAATATTGCAAGCATTGCTCTGTGCTCGATGGATTGCGCGCATCGCTTGCGAATATGCAACCCGAAAACCTGAACTGCGACTGCGCATTTTATTCGCTGGCGATTTTAACAGCACCTCGGATGGAGCTGTCTTTGAACTGTTAAGCACTGGTTAGAATTTGATAATTATTGAATTTTCATTTTCAGCTTTGCAACTCATTTCGCCCTCCATTGAGCGAGAAACTTTTGTGTGCAATCTGTTCTAAATGATGAGAATTTTGTAGTGGCTGGAGCTGCTCGGTGTTGACCGGACTGTTCATGTTTCTTCCCAACTAGATTTGTCTAAGTAGTGGGTGGAAGAAGTTTTAAGTATTCAACGTATCTTGTGCTCGTATTTACACCTGGGGTGCTTGGATTAACTGCACTCCTTACTCCAGTTCTCCGTGTATAATTACCAGCAGTGCCAAGTCCGTTCAGACGTTCGGTATTTGAATCGGGATATTGATTTTGTTGGGATGCTGTCAGTTACTGAAAGTACATCTTAATAGTTTTGGTATTTCTGTACATCAGTTTTTAAACTAGAAACGGAAAAACTTTACAAAATTTGTAGATTTTCTGTGATTTCTCTATTTTTTTACCGAATTGCGCTTTTTCTTCAGGCAGCTTTTCCAACAGATGTGATTCTCTTACGTACAGTAAGTACTTACAAGATGATGTCGTTTTCACCATTCAGCCATCTTCATCTATGTATAGTTTGAAATTGAAAAGTTTGGCTGATGAAACGCAATTCACAAATTTTACGCGTCATTACCGGTACAGCGGAGAAATTGCCGGTTTTGAAGGATGTTTGGATTATATTTGGGGGAGCGAAAACATCGAAGTAAGCTTCTCCATCAGTTCGTTCATTCACAACTATCTTGTTTCTATGTTGTCTCAAAAAACAAAAATCAGAGCCCCATCTGTATTCTTTCTGTTGCTTTCGAGAAGCGGATGCATTCAGAAATTGCTGTATTAGTAATAAGTTCCAATAGCGGCCACCCGCTGATGACGTTGTTGACGGCTATTTTTTCGAAGGTTGCTTACAAGCAAGCTGATAGCAGTTTTTACTCCCGAGCATATGCCTGCACCAGTCTAGTACTAAAACAAAATGGACGAATCGTAAAGAACGTGAGTGGCTGGTAGAATTGTCTGGAAATTGGACATTAGTCTGTAATTTTGGAGACTTTTAAAGAATTTAAACTCTCCGAAAATGCTGCTTCTTGAAATGGTTATTTCAATTTAGGTTGAAAAAGTG